TAGGGGGATAGTAGGTCAGAGAGGTTAGGGGAGGGAGCAAGGAGTAAGGAAGTAAACTCATGTGGAGTATAAACATCAGCACAAACTGGTTGAGTTGAGTGGGCTGTTTCCGTGCTGTACATTCTTTGTAAATCCTGTGTAGAGGTGAGAGTGCTATCAACTGAGCCACACTGAGATGCTTTTCCAGGGTCAAAGCCCCAGTTACACAGCCATCTTCCTGATGACCATGTTTTCAACCCCAACACAAAGTTATTATGGATTTTTTTTTTTTTTAAGATGGCCATATTTCTAAGTATTATCATGTGCCAGAAACAGTGCATGAGAACTTCCATTGTATTGTTACCTTAAGCAATACCAAACAAGCTTAATGTGAACATATCAATGTGAAAGAGTGAGTCAAGCCATTGTAGTGTTGTTACTTTTAGCAGCAATAAAACAAAGGATGCAGCATTTAAATGAAAACAAAACAATAAACACTGTCGGAGATAAGAGTAAAAGTTATTTGTGGTGCTGAGTATAGCGACTTTTTAACCACATGCACTAGCAACAACAACAACTTGCATTTAGATAGCGCCCTTCGTGCCGACGGCATCTCGTAGCGCTTAACAGTGACAGAGTCCGATGCCGAGCCAGGGGGAGTGGAAAGGTGACCGTAGGCACGGTCGAAGAGGAATGGGGAGAGAGGGGTCAAGGCGAAGGGATTGATGGAGAGGGTTGCAGAGCTTTGGCTTGTAGCAGCTGAACAATCTGCAATTCTGCACAACCCAACTAATGTAGTAATGGCATTTCACCATGTTTTAAAACCCAGTGAAGGATGCCTTTTGCTGTCATACAGCATCTGTAATACCAATGTGGCTTTTAACTGTATTTCTACATCACACTTGTAATGGAAATAATTCACATTTGTTCCGCATTAGCAAAGCCACTCAGAGGTGAGTTACAAAATTGCAAGTGGACTTACACTGCATGTGAGGTAGACGGAAACATAAATCCTATTTCCACACTAGTGATTATCAAGGACAAAATTTAAGGTTAATCTGGGTTTAGGCTTCAGATTTAGATGATCCAAAAATGTAAAAATGTGATACAAAGGTCAAAATACCAAATGTCCTCATCAATGCTCCTTTGCTACAGTACCCATGTTATTTCGATTTGAATACAATAAACCTGACGGATACACAATGCTGCCTCATTGACCCCTGCCATGATGGCCCACCATCAGTGGTCACATTTTCAGCCTATTTGGCCTCACTTTCTGGAACTCCATGTAGGAGTCCTTTTCCTTGCCTCTTTCAAGATATGTCTCAAGACCTTCCTCTTTGACCGTGCCTTCAGTTAACTTCCCCCCACAGTCCCTTGATCCCATCTCTTGAATACAATCCCCAGCTCAGGTGCAAATCCTCAACTGTCAAGGCCCTTGGAGAGACTCCCAACATGAAAGGCGCTATATATGGATGCAATTTTCTTGTTTGTTTGTTGTATACAGTCACTACACTTTTGCAATAAATCTTGTGAAGCACATTGAGACGGGCTCCTGATGTGAGAGGCGCTTTACGAGATGCACTATATGAAATGCAAGGATTATACATTATTTATCAAGTTGCAGGGAAGGTAGGAGAGTAATTTAGCACATCAAATCTGGTTTGCAAATAAGATCTCATTGTTGGCTGTGATGCACACTGACTGTACTATAACTGCAGCAGCACCTTTTCATGTGGTTTAGGTGCTATTTATTTCACACTGTATAGTACAAAGGATTATGTATTACCACCAAACGTAGGTCTTCTCTCCCACAGGAAATGTTAAAACATACTATATCCTGTAAACTGATTCCTAAATTCAATTATATTGGTACTTGCAATCCATTAATTTATATGTCATGATTTATAGTGTTAGTATTTCCTTACAAACTAAAGGATCTAAAATCTTTAAAGAAAAATAATAATAGTGCAACTTGGTTACTTTTAATCTGGAAATTGTGCTGAAAGCCTCAAGGGGTTAACAGTTTAAAAATTGTGCCTTTCAGTGTGAGCAGATCATACCAGGTGTGGTAAATTGGTGTCATTATGAACCATCAGGAAATGCCCACAGAGATCTCTGGTAACATTGCAGAAATTTCATTAAACAGCTGCGTGTTGTAATTGTTTTACAGTATTTAAAGAGATGGCAGCTTAAACAAGTTACTGGATGTTGGTGCACATAAAATGTATGAATGAATGACGACTCTAGGGAGATTCCCGCTGAGACAAAAGCCAACTGAAAGCACATCAGTTGGTCCATCAAGAATACAGTAAGTGCCATTAATTTTCTCATATGTCTTGCTATTAATGTAATTGCAGTGCTAGAAAATATACAAAAGTGGAAGTACCTTTTGCTCTTGTAGATATTACTTAAATTTACACTTTAAAAAATTATACTTTAGTTTAATAACATAAATTACCTTTAAAAGATTTTATAGACTGATTTATTTCGTAGGTAAAGAGCACATTCTAAATTAGTGATCCCTGGTACATGTAATTCAAATACAAATATTTATATGCACCTTATTCATCAAAATGATAAATCCGCCAAATGTTAAAATCTTTGCATTTGATAAAGCATTTCTTCGGAAAGTCTCAAAGTGTTTCACAAGATTTATTGTAAAAATCAGTGACGACATGTCTGTTAACAGAATTGTCTGTTAAATGCTTCTGAAATAATTTTTGGTACTGTGACTAAGAAAGTGACTTTCTGTTTTAGACATATCAGTTTGAAAGAGGACAATGCTAAAGTATATAAAATAAAGTAATCTTGACAGAGACTCCATTAAGACTAAATCTCCAAAATGAGCACATTTTTTTTCATTGCCCAGGTAATCAAACAAACACACGAAAATTACATTTGTATAGCGCTTTTCACATAGGGAGGATGTTCCAAGACATTGGACAATCAGTGTTTCGAACCGAGTTGGGGGTCAAGATCGGAGGACAGGGGAGGAAGGAGGGTAACCGAAGGCACGGTCAAAGAGGAAGGTCTTGAGATGGGTCTTGAATGTACAACTAAACTGCAATCGAATTAAGGCTTAGCAAAATGGAAACAATTCAATGCTTCATAGCATTTCAAGAATAACAACAAATTACGTGGATGTCCCAAAGCACTGGACTAACACTAAACACTAACATATTTCAACACTAAATCAGCAGACCTTTGAGTAAAATTACAGGACCAGCATGCAGAAATGCCATTATCTTCTCTACAAATTATACTCCAAACAATCATTGCAATAGGGTCTGGGAACCTTAAATATTTCCTTGCAGAACTGCTGAAATCAGAATACGCCTATGACCATTCAGGTTTCCCATTTTTTAGGCTTTTTATCCTCACAGACTGCAGAACTGTAGGACCAACATTCTTTTCCATGGAACAAATTGAGAGGAAAGTATGTTTAAAATGAAATTACACCAGATCCTAGCATTTCTTACTGCCTAGTGTGTGAAGTGTAATTTATTTAGTATTAACAAAAAACAGAGCAGCCGTTGCTCCTGAAATAGGAACATTTCACGCTTTTGGAGCAGCTAATATCCACTCAACCCAAATAAAATTTAAAAATCCGTGATTACAACTGTGGCATGTAGAATTGCAGGCAAAAGTGGCAAAACAACAATACATTGTCGCATTTTCACATATATCCTTGTGTGCCCTTATGGATTTAAGAGTGACACCAGCATATTCTTGGCGGGGGATAGCAGTTCCCACAGCATATAAAGGAGATCCAAGTGGCAATACATGATGAGCTGCATAATAAATATGAATGTAGAAGCTCTGCAAATTACAATGAACATAACACAATGCATATCTGCCTAACATGTGGCAATCTTGCCAGAGACTCGACACGTGTATGATTTTTTCAGCACTCTGGGAAAACAAGTAATCTCCATGGAACACAGGAGATTCCTCGAAATCAGATGGGATGCAACACAGAAACAGGAACAGAAAAATTCCTACACTACCCTGTACTCACAGTAATAATAATAATAATAATCCTTGCATTTGATATAGCGCTTTTCACGTCGGGAGGACGTCCCAAAGCGCTTCACAGAACACACTGTAAAGTGAATTGACTGTATATTTGTGGGCGAACGCGGCAGCCAATTGCGCACAGCAATGTCCCACAAACAGTCTTAGATTGAAAATGACCAATTTATTATTGTTTTTGGTTTTGGAGGGATTATTATTAGGCGTGTGGAGTAAGGAAACTTGCCCAAGGTTTCGCCCTGACTGGAATTGAACTCAGGTCTCTCACTTGCAAAGCGAGTGCTCTAACCACTGAGCTACAGGGCTCCATAGATAGATCGTGTGATTACTGGCTAGTGTAGAGTTTTTTCGGTTTGTGCCTGGATTACTGCTGGATCCTAACCATTTGGATAAGATTATCCAAATCAGATAAGAGTTCCATGCCACCTACACTTGGAAATGTCTCTGGAATGGAATGCACTATCTCTCCCTGGAGGGATGCACCCAGCTTACCTAATTCTAGAGAGTAATAGACTCAGACACCCCAGAGTTTAGGTGACATGGAACTCTATCTGGTTTGGGTTTGGATAGTCTTAAACAGTGACAGGTTTCCATATGTGTCAGATACTCATTTGTTCATGTTCATTTGGAGTCCCCCCACACTCACAACTCCACCTGCTGCCATCAAGTAGTCCTTTCCACGAAAGACTTAGGTAAATATCTGATTAGGGTATTGGATGACTTAGGGCTACACACAGAATGAGATGAGTTGAACAAATATATCCCAGGTTACAATAGTTTCTCTGCTGTTGAGCCTGGGAAAGTAGTGTTGTCGAGAGCGAAGGAGCCCGGCAAATGATTAGCATCCAGCAGGTTGAACTCAACCAGCTAAAACTTATTGATGGTACAATAGTCAGAAACATTCCGAGTTTTTATTCCTAAACTACGCTGATAGACAAATAGAACTGATGAGACTATCTTGCCGTTGGATTAATAGGGCTAATTACCTGTTGTGTAATAGTCTCCCAGGGTCCTTGCAAAAGACGCTCTTTGTAACAATCATGCACGTTCTCCCAAATCTCTTCCAGTGTAAGTGGCCTGCCATCTAGGGGGAAAAAAACACAAAGTACAGTAACAATTATATTAAATGGATTGTATATTGGAGAAAAAAATCACAATCAAAAAATCACAGCAAGTACAACTGTAGCACCACATTCTTTCTTTGAGGTCTTTTTCTGCTGCTCCACTTTCTCCTTCAAAGCCCCCCCAAAGATATCTGCTCCTATCGACAGAAAAAATTAAGTGTATTTTATACGAAAGATATATTTGCTGTTCCACGTTACAAATGATACCAGATGCCTCTTGGTGAATTTAAGCCCCTAATCCAATCTCAGGGTTTATTTTACAAAAATAAACTGCTTGAACTTCACTCACATGTGGAATGACGTCAGCTAAACCCCTCATTTTGATTTCTATCTTGCAACTCCCTGAGCAGTATCTGGTATCCTTCAGTACATTACAGTAGTAATTCAATCTTGTTTAATTTGATTTCCTTACATCACCCCATTAAATGTTGAATGCATTCCTAATATCAGCTGTTTTGTTGGGGAAGGATGGAACCAGGGTAGGGGGTGGCACAGATATAAAGTGAAGAGAGGGAGGAGTTATTGTGGTTCACTCTCAAATGCCTGAGTGAGTATCTACAGACCTTATAGCTAGATATTTGCCTGAACCTGCTAGTTGAAGAAAATAAATGAAAATGGAAGAAAGGAAAGGAAGGACACACCGCCTATTCTCTGAATCGAATAATCAAAGAGGAGACACATCAGTAAATACGTTGATGTAACTTTGATAAGGCTGATAGTTTCACCAGGCAAAATTGAAAGGATTCGTTCTAGCTGTGTCTGATTTCCACTGGTTATTACCTGTATCCTACAACCATGTCAATGATAAAGCTTCTGCTGCTATAAATATATTTTTACATAATATAACTCTTCACAAAGCCTAAACACCTGTTAATGATGGTAACAACTTACATTTATATAGTGCTCTACAGCTAAATGCTTCAAATGTTGGGGCAGTCTCAAATGGGTGAGCCTGGCTGAAGGCTGGACGGAGGACTGGAAACACACTGCATCATCTCAAACTGACCTAATAACTGCATACAAAAACAGAAGTCGCTGGGAACACTCAGCAGGGCAGACAGCATCTATGGAGAAAGGAAAGTAAGTCAACGTTTCGGGTTCCACAACCCTTCGTTTGAAGGGTCGTGTTCTGACGAAGGGTCGTGGACCCAAAACGTTGACTCATTCTCCTTTCTCATTAGAAGCTGCCTGACCTACTGAGTGTTCCCAGTGACTTCTGTTTTTGTTTCAGATTTCCAGCATCTGCAGTATTTTGCGTTTTGCTAATAACTGCATAGTTTATTCTGAAAGGAAATGTTTTTGAAAAATTTGCAAACTGCAGCAGAGTTAACATTACTGTAGCTACCAACCTTATATAAAATGCACAATTATGTTCTTCTGTGGCTCAATGAGAAATAGTTCACGTACTATTTGACCAATAAGCACTAAAAAGAACCCTAGCAAAAAATCCTTGCTCTGCCTTGCCCCCTCCTTGCTTGTTTTCAGATAATATCTGAAAATCTGCCTTCTCGACCGTGCTTATGGTCACCTCGCCTCACTCCCTGGCTCAGCATCAAGCTCTGCCACCGTTAAGCGCTCTGATACGTTTACCCTACGTGAAGGGCAAGGACGCTATATAAATGCAAGTTATTGTAAATTATAGGCAGTTTGTCCTTGCATGCAAACTAGGTTTCCCATAGTACAAAGGTTTCAATGTTAATTATGTTCAGTTTGACATACCTGAAAAACAAGCTTTGAAGTACAGCACAGGTACCTGGTAGCTGCAGGAGTAGACAACATGGTACTCATACTGAATTAGTTCTAACGTTGTTACCGGAGCTTCCTCTTTGTCAATGCCAATATTCTCTGCCTAAAATCAAGAGAAAAGATTGTACAACTTTATACAAGGTCAATAGGACTCTAAACTGCAGGAGTCAAAAAAGGATTCATGCCGAGCAGATCCCATATGTGTTGCAGGTCATTCTCTCACACAAATTAAACCTCATTTTTTGCATTGTAGGTTTGGTTAATGCCAAATGTCAAAGTAAGATACGTTGATGAACAGGTAGACCAAATGGTTTGTCCTTAAGTTTCATTCTTGAGGGAGAAGGAAATAAACGGTGTTGTAGGGGTGTAAGCTTACGTGGAATATAAACACCGGTATGGACGAGATGGATCAAATAGCTTGTTTCGGTGCTGTACAGTCTATGTAATACTATGAAATTCCATGTAAGTTAAAGTTGGTAAATGCTTACAAAATATCCAATGTAGGTGCTTCACAAGTCAAGTTGAGAAATACAGGTCATAACTCAGCCAATGAAGATTGAATTGCATTGTCCTTAGTGGTGCTTGATGTTGTCAGATTTATCATGCATCAAGAAGGACTGTCAAACAAGATTTTAAAACTCATCCCTGAAAGTTGGTTCTTTAAAATCATGCATATATGATTTAACAATCATCAGTAAATCATACAAATGGCTTTACAAGTTTCAAGAAAAGAAACTTTCAAACTTTTTAACATGCAAATGTATCTCCTCTACATGGCTTCTGCGATTTGGAAACGGACAGAAAAAAATCTACTGGTTAATTACCGCTTTTGATAGATATCAATAGTTTGTTATGCACTTAGCAACCGTACAGAAAACTGCATGAGTTGCTTGAATGAGAAACATCTGTTGATACAAAAAAAATGCCCAAATGGCAATGGGTTTTAAGCACAGCACGAATTTGTACTTGTGGAATCCAAAAGTAGCAAATGAAGACCAGACAATTTGCTAGCTTTTATGGAAAATAGTGTGATAATTATTTTAATTATCATCCTTTTTTTCCTTTTACAGCCCTCCAGTGACAGACAATTCCTCAAAAACTGAAGCTGGTTACAGATGTGAAAGTAAAAGAAAAATCAATATAAGCAAAAGCTGTAGAGGTTTGCTTAAATGGTTTCATCGGGTTATATGCTGCCTTATGTAATACCATCTGGTATCATTATTGAGAATACAGTGGGTGAAATAAACCTGAACACTCAGTTTTGTTTTAATAATAATACTAATAATCCTTGCATTTGATATAGCGCTTTTCACGTCGGGAGGACGTCCCAAAGCGCTTCACAGAATATACTGTAAAGTGAGTTGACTGTATATTTGTGGGCGAACGCGGCAGCCAATTGCGCACAGCAATGTCCCACAAACAGTCATAGATTGAAAATGACCAATTTAATTATTGTTTTTGGTTTTGGAGGGATTATTATTAGGCGTGTGGAGTAAGGAAACTTGCCCAAGGTTTCGCCCTGCCTGGAATTGAACTCAGGTCTCTCGCTTGCAAAGCGAGTGCTCTAACCACTGAGCTACAGGACTCCACGTTTTATTCTGTAATTACTATTAAATACTATTATCCATGCCATTTTAGGATGCACAAAATAGTCGCCAAATAATCATCCAAGTCTCTCGATGAAAAACATTCTGCTTCAATGTTTTTAATCGAGAAAGTTAGATGAAGGGTCAAGGCCCATATTGTGGGACACCGTTAAATGCTCCAAAGAGTAGGAGGGAGAACCAGATACATTTGTTTAACAAAATACTGGTTATGGAGATCCAAGTTTGTGTTTCAAAAACTTGGAAAATGAACAAAAGACACAAAAGTACTTTTAGTTTAATTCTATGGTAACCTCTGCACTCTTAACTAGGCTCCCACACATTCAGAAAGGTGACTCTTGTCCATTTTCTTCTCCATAACAAAACACACACTATATCAAAAAATTCAGGCTTGCAATATAAGCCAAATCAGGAGTATTAAACATAGCAGCTGATAAGACACCATTCTTGCATTTTCAATAGTATCTACACACAATTTGTCATTAATCTCAGACTTTTGAAGCTGTCCTAAAATTGTAGCTTTTACTAAAATATAACACACGTGTGCACGTTTGTCACTATCTCTGTAACTCAGAAGCTCTATGCACAGGAATTTCTGGTTTGCAACTCATTACTTCCTCTCAAAGCAGGGGGTCCTTCCTTTTAACAAATGCCAGTGCTTCAGACAGGGAATATGCTGATTTTCCAGTGTATATTCTTTTTTCCTAGAAGCGAACTGCATAAAAGTTAACTCTTACGTTTCTGGTGTCTAAGGAGCGATACTGCAGCTCCTAACGTACACATAGTCTTGTAAATATTATCATATCATAGAATCATAGAATTATAGAGCACAGAAGGAGGCCATTTGGCCCTATGTGGCTGTGCTGGTTCTTTGAAAAGAGCTATCCAAATCAATCCCACTCCCCCACTCTTTCCCCATAGCCCTGCAAACTTGTCCTCCCCAAATAATTATCTACTTCTCTCTTAAAAGTTGTCATCGAATCAGCTTCCACCACCCTTTCAGGCAATGCATTCCAGATCCAAACAACTTGCTGTGTGAAAACATTTCTTCTCACCTCCCTTGTTTCTTTTAACAGCTATTTTAAATCGGTGCCCTCGGGTTACCAACCCACTCACCAGTGGAAATCGTTTCTCTTTGTTCATCCTATCAAATCTCCTATAATTTTGAAAATTTCTATTAAGTCTCCTCTTAACCTTCTCTGCTCCAAGGAGAATAATCCTATCTTCTCTAGCCTCTCCTCATAACTGAAGTCCCTCATTCCCGGTACCATTCTGGTAAATCTCCTTTGCACCCTCTCCAATTCCTTGACATCTTTCCTAAAGTATGGCGCCCAGAACTGAACACAGTACTCTATCTGAGGCCTAACCAGTGTTTTATAAAGGTTCATCATAACTTCCTGACTTTTTTATTATACGCCACTATTTATAAAGCCTAGTATCCGTATGCTTTATTAACAGCTTTATCTACTTGTCCTGTCACTTTCAGAGATTTATTTATATGAACCCCCAGGTCTCTCTGTTCCTTCACCCCCTTTTAAGATTGTACCATCAGCTTATATTGCCTCTCCTCATTCTTCCTCCCAAAATACATCACTTCGTATTTCTCCACGTTAAACTTCATCTGCCACGTGTCTACCCATTTTATCAATCTGTCTATGTCCTCTTGAAGTCTGCTACTATCCTTCTCACTGTTTAATACTTTTCCTAGCTTAGTATCATCTACAAACTTGGAAATTGTACTCCCTATACCCAAGTCCAGGTCATTTATACAGATCAAAAACAGCACTGGTCCCAATACCGAGCCCTAGGGGACACCACTGCACACTTCCCTCCAGTCAGAAAAACAACCATTCACCACAACTCTCTGCTTTCTGTCTCCCAGCCAGTTCTGTATCCATGCTGCCACTGTCCCTTTAATACCGTGGGCTTCTATTTTGCTTGCAAGTATCTTATGTGGCGCTTTATCAAACGCCTGTTGAAAATCCACATAAACTACGTCAACTGTACTACCTTCATCCACCCTCTCTGTTACGTCATCAAAAAACTATCAGGTTTGTTAGATACGATTTGCCTTTAACAAATCCATGTTGGCTGTGCTTTACTAACCCATATTTTTCTAAGTGAAAATTTATTTTGCCCTGGACTATAGTCTCTAGAAGTTTCTCCACTACTGATGTTAGGCTGACTGTCCTGTAGTTCTTGGGTTTATCCTTCTGCCCCAGGGGAGTAATATTTGCAACCCTTCAGTCCTCTGGCACCCCCCCTGGTGTCGAAAGAGGATTGAAAGATTGTGGCCAGAGCCTCCATTATTTTCACCCTTACTTCCCTCAGTAACCTTGGATGCATCCCGTGGGGACCGGGTGACTTATCTACCTTGAGTACCTCGTCTCAGTTTATTCTTATCTTATCCAATATCTCTACCCTCTCCTCCGATACTGTGGCATTGGCTGCATCCTCTTCTTTTGTGACAACAGATGCAAAATACTCATTCAGTATATCAGCTATGTCCTCTGCCTCCAAAGAAGATTTCCTCTTCGGTCCCTTATTGGACCCACCCTACCTTTGACTAATCTTTTATTCTTTATATGCTTATAAAATATGTTACCCGCTAATCTGCTCTTAGACATTCTCCTTGCTCCTCTTATTTCGTTTTTCACTTCTCCTATGTACTTTCTATATTCTATTTGATCATTTTCTGTGTATTGGATCTGACATTTATCATAAGCCTCCTTTTTCTGTTTTATTTTAATCCCAACTTCCTTAGCCATCCAGACAGCTTTGGACGCTCTACCTTTCTCCTTTGTGGGAATGTATTTGTTCTCTCCTCAAACTATCTCTACATTGAAGGCTTCCCATTGCTGTTAGCTGTTTTACCTGCCAGCCTTTCTTTCCAGTCCACCTTGGCTAGGTCCCGTTTTAACTCTCTGAAATTAGTCCTCTTCCAGTTGAATATCTTCATATTTGATTGTTTCTTGTCTTTTTCTAATAATTACTCTAAACCTAATGGTGTTGTGATCACTGTTGTTCAGATGCTCTCCCACTGAAACCTGCTCCACTTGCCCCACTTCACTCCCCAGAACCAGATCCAGCACTGCTTCCTTCCTCATTGGGCTGGAAACATACTGATCCAGAAAGTTATCCTGCACACATTCAAGGAGTCCTTCCCCCTCATTGCCCTTTACACTGTTATTTTGCCAGTCTATGTTAAGATAATTGAAGTTCCCCATTGTCACCACTCTATTGGTTTTACATCTTTCTGAAATCTGCTTGCAGATTTGCTCGTGTATCTCCTTCCCACTATTTGGTGGTCCATAGTATACACCTAACAAAGTAACAGCTACTTTTCTGCTGCTTAACTCTAACCAAATAGATTCTGTTTTTGGACTCTCCAGCATATCGTCCCTTTCCAGGGCCAGAACCATGTCTTTAATCAATATTGCCACCGCCCCAACCCCACTCCCAACACATTTTTCCATTTCCCTATCCCTCCTGAATCCAC